ACTGGTGGAGACATAGCGTAGGCTGCAATTCCCAGTTGCTTGAAGTTTTGCTATAAGAGGCCCCTGTGCCACAAAACCGTCGAAAGCACCAGCCAATGTCCAGTGCTACACACAGTTGACTTTGGTTTCATCCAGTGATGGTGCCATACTTAGTGGAGAGGTTTAACAGATCAGCGCGAGTTACCTTTCCTGAGCCATATTGGCGGTCACAAGTGAGATTGGTAGTCAATAACTCTGTTGTTTGTCTTGGAGATTATTGTCTCCAAGGATATTACCTGTGAATGGGTCAGGAGTGACACTGGTCTGTTAGTTGCTGATTTCTGCTCTGCCTCTTCTTTTTGTGAACAGGGACTACATTTGCCTCTTTCCACAGAGAGGGCCATTTACACTGTACTAGGCAGTGCTGAAAGATGCGAGTTAGAGGTGCTGCTAGCTGGTCTGCAATCTTCTCTGCAATATTGGATCAACTTGTCTTGGGCCCACAGGCCTTTTCTGGTCACCTCTTCAAGGGGGGCTCCTTGGCGTGGTGGAAGAGGATCTTGGTCTGATGGAGAATTAGATATCTGTCGGTCTTCTTATCTGACCGAACCTAATTACCCCAATCTCCCCTCCCCATTCCTCCATCCTCCCATACTCCCTTTTTCCTTTCATCCTCCTCCTCCCCACCCCTCCCTTTTGCCCTTCCTCTTTTTGGCCTTTGGGATTTCTCCCACAGGCGCGCTAGTTTCCTAGGTAGGGGAAAGGATACCGGGGTCCATTCCCCTTCCCTTGAGGTTCTTGGCGGTGGCGTAGTTTGCCGTAGAATCGGATCGCCTGGGGATGTCTCGATCCCTCTACCCGGGATCCCGGAGTAGCTTTGGGTTGTCTTTCGGGCGACGGGTGTAAACTCTGGAAGCCACCTTTCGGATTCGGGGGTGGTGGCCCAAGGAGGTATGCTTTGTGGTGGATATCCAGCTGCCCTCTCTTTTTGTCCACCGAGGTAGCTCGGCAGATGTGAGGTTGGGTATCTCGGATTGTTAGTATTTCTAGCATGATGGGGAGGGTATGGCACGGGGTTTCCCTGCTGCATTTGCGCTACTTGCGGTGCTGAGGTCCCTTGGGCGTGGAGGGAAAATTTCTGGCCCTTTCATTCCTCCCAGGAACTATCCCTCCCCCGGTCCCCCCTTTTTTTATTCTTTTTTTTATTTTTATTTTCTTTTCTTCTTTTTTTTCTTAAAAACAAAAAGAAAGAAGAACTTAAACCATGGCAGCCCTAGTCCATGAACCTAACTACCCCTGGGCCCCTTTTGATACCCGCACCCGTTTGACCCCGCCTCATTTTTGGGGACCACTCTTCAGACACTCATCCCTTTGTACCTCTTGCCGGTGCTGTTTCCTCACCTGCTTCAGGTACTGGGGCCCCTCGACTGACTCCTTCGATTATCGGACCTTCGCTCTCCTCTGACTATGCTTCCGGCCTCTCCCTAACATTGCGGCAATTTTCAAATCCCCCGACCCGTTCCACGTCAGACCAACTCTGGTCCACGCCTAAACGCCAACGACAATTACCTGCTGATGATACTTCTCCACCTTCCGTTCTTCTCAGAAACGATCGTCACGTCCTTCACTACCTTTCCACGCTCAGTTTCAGACTGAACAATGGACTTAATTCTTCACTTTACGACCGACTTCCTCTACTGATTATCTTTCTGACCACAGTATTGGCAAGGCACTCCTCCCCTGTTGGAAAAGATATTTCTTTTCAGCCTTAAGAGGGGGTACGGACATCCCCCGTACAGAATGCTACCAGGCTCATGAGCTCTCTGTCTTTCCCTATCGACACTGTTCCTGTCACTTTTTGAAAAAATCTTCCAAAAATTCTTGTAGGGGTACTGTAATTTGCCCCATACCGTATTTCAACAAAATTTCCGGAATGTGGGATGACATTCTTGAACGCTGGAACTCAAGTTCCCCAACTAAAGGAGACATTTAACATTTTTCCCTGCCCAGGGCGGGAGATACCCTAGCAATGCCAAGCGTACGTAATAAGGCAATAGTTATTGGGATTTATACAAAAATTTAAAGAAAACGAATCCAGAGGTCATCTGCAGCTTATAATCCTTTAGTAAGGCCTCACCAGATTATGCACTCAATTCGGGTCCCTTTTACAGAAGGGGACAAAAATTCGTTAGAAAACATTCAGGTAGGATGATAAATTAAAACATAGTTTTAGAAATTTTCCTTTATGAAGAAAGAGAAGACTCTTAATTTACATTCATTGTTTAGGAAGAATGGGGGAGACCGATCAAAGTGATAATGGAAGATGGATTAAAAAGGGGGATATTAACAAGGTTTGAGGAACTTCCCCAAGAGAGAACCCGCAGTAAGGGTTTTTAAAATTAGATAAGTTTAGATTTAAAAAGGACATGGGAAAAGAAAATTGGTTTGGAAATGGGTAGTAATGAGGGAAACAGTCTACCTAGTTGGTTTTTGGGGCTAGGCTTTGGGTGTTTTCAAATTT